CCAGAAGCCTCTGCTCTCATGGCGGGTACAGTCTAGGGAAGCAAGGGAAGAATGAGAGAGGAGAGCTGCAGAGAGAGTATGTGCAAAGGTCCTGAGGCAGGAGCATGTTTGATATATTCAGAGAACACCTTGGAGTCGAGCTTCCCTGAGGACCCCCAGCTAGAAGACATCATTGTGACGTCTTCCTCTGGGTTGTTTCTCTAGTTTCTAAAGAATAGAGCCCTGTCTTCGCCCTCCATTCAGCACTCTGGGGGAGACCTAACTACAGGTCCACAGGTAGATAGTCAGGATGTGTATGTCACAAGGTGGTGTGGCTGGTCACAGTCAAGTAGATCTCAGAAGGGAAATGGGAAGGAGAAAAGAAAGGAAGAAAAGGGAATGGAAATTCTCCATGCAGCATTCAGCCCCTAGTGGTTCTCCTCCCGGAAGCCAGCACCTCCCTCTTGGAACCTGTTTGCGTGAACGTGTTCATTTGGAAAGGTGTCTTCAACAAAGCGAAGCTCTCACCACACAGCAGAAACAGAGACTTGGAGGGAAAAAATTCACTGCGTCTGATTTCACTGAAATGCAATGCTTTCCTTATGAATGTGTCTGTGATCTGAAACCCATAAGTGCATAACACTGTGCAGACAAGGGGCGGACAAAACTTAGCATGCTTTCCAGGGCCGGGATCAAACAGAGGGAGCCCTCTGAGTTTTTCTGGGACCCCAAAGCATGATGGTCCCAGTGGCCCAGTCTTTCCTGTGAAAGTACTTAGTCATGGCAAGCAGTATCAACCCCAGATGGAAAAGGCGAGAAGAAGGATGAGCTAAGGCCATGTGGGCTGTGAGTCAGGGGAGACGCAGCCCAGGATGAGTCCCACAGACTCTCACTTTCCTTGTGGAAGCCCATGAGTACAACTCCTCAGACGTTTGGCAGAGTTCTGGGGTCTGCCGTGGCTGGCCCAGGTGAGCTCATTGTGTGTTCAGGCTTGACAGTGGGGCTGTGCACAGCTGGTAACCAACACCTCCTTTCTGTGTCCACCAGCCTCTGGGCAGGACCCAGGGGTGAGCTTTCTTTAACATAAGGTCCCTGGGTTTGTACCAACTTCAAATATGAGCCCACCCTAAAACCCCACCTGGTGCCCTGGTGCTCTCAGTGGCACAACCAAGAGAACCCCCTGGTGCAGTTCTGCATGGGTGACCATAAATTGGAATGAACTTCATAGCAGCAGGATTGTGTTTCAGATACTTGGGGCTCCTGTTTCCCATCAGGCAGCTGGGGGACCTCCTCATTGCTGCCCAGTCATGCACACAGAACAAAGGAGCACACAGTGGGCTCTCCCATCTGGTGACTAATGAAATGTAATGATTTGATTAGGTCTGGTATCACACACACTTGCCCATCGACCTAAGCTTGCCCCGAGGAACTGTTACCTGTTTAGTATTCTGCTCATTACCACTGTTTGTTTATTGGCCATAGAACCAGAAAGATGGTCTGACATCACAGAGCGAGAAGTACCCTTCAACACAAGTCATGCTTCAGTTCTGTTCCCTTGAGAGCAGGCACCAAGAACCGTGCATCCTTTTTATTGGTTCACAAGCCTCCACCCGTATCAGTGAGGCTTTTTTAGTTTTCCTTTGCCTTTGCTCTTCCCCAGTGAGACAGTCTCCTACGTAAGTTAGGACTTTTGTGAGACAAATGCAGTTTTCCTGTGCCTTTACCGTTTATAGTAATCAAACAGAGCTCTGTTGCTGAGTGTCATGAATTGGTTGCGACTCAGTGACCCTGCATAGGGTTTCTGAGGAATGACTGGCGAGTTTGAACCGCTGACCTTGTGATCCAGTTTTATCCTATGATTCCACACCAATACTCCAAGAGAGCACTGAGAATCAGCTGAAGTAAAAGCAGAATGATTATCCTTGGGTTTCGCTTTATTTGTCATCTGAGGAGAGTTTCAAAAACGTGACTATCTGTGCCCATGACACACAAGGCACCTGCTCACCGGTGATGGCCTTGTTTATCTTCCCAAAACGCAGAAGTCTTTCCTAATGTTCGGTTTTTATTTTTTCAAACAGGGATAGAAATCAAGATTTAAGTCACTCGTTCATACTCCAGATTGTTGCTAAGGGAAGAGGGAAAAGTGGGCAGGGTAAACTGTAAACAAAGGAAATAAACAAGATTGTAATTGAAAGAAAGCAAAATGTACTGGAGTGGATGTCATCAGCAAGTTAGAAAGGGGTGGCAGATTTTATTTTAAAGCCAAGGAAATTTTAGTCTCTGTTGTTGTTAAGTGCCGTCAAGTTGATTCTGACTCATAGTAACCCTCTGAGTATAGAATTTCTAAGGACTGGCTAGTGGGTTTGAACCGCCAAGCTTTTGCTTAGCAGTGCAGTGTTTATCTTACAGTGCCACTCCAGGACTCCATCTTTAGTGTCTTGTTGTTGTTAAGTGCTGTAGAGTCGATTGTGACTTATCGCAAGCCCTGTAGAGGGTTTCCAAGGAGCAAGAAGTAGATTTGAACTGCCTAACTTGTGGCTGATCCTACATCTCCAAACTAGGAACCCTCTTTAGTCTCTCCAGGACTTGAATTCTGTTCTAGAACATCCCTATCTCTGCCTCTCAGACCCACAAACCAGTTATGATCGAGTCCATTCCAACTCACCGTGAACTCATTTGTATAAGAGTCTAATTCCCTAGAGTTCTAAGTGGCTAAGTTTTTCAAATCTAAATTGCCAGGCCTTTTTTGAGGCATCTCTGAAAAACCACCCAACTTTCAGTTACCAGCAGGGTACCACCCAAGAACTCCTTTAGACCCAGGAAGCTTCATTTCATCTCCATTAACTCTTGGGAGTCATATCCCACATGTCTATATTTGTCGAGTCCGAAAGCCCCTTCCAGAGTCAGGAGGGGTCTCTGGGAAGTCTGAATTTTCTCAGAGATCTGCTGCTCACATGAGTCCTTGGGAAGCCAAGACTCTTGAAAGGGCCTCAGTCATGCCTACCAAGTAACACCGCAGTGATGTAAGGGCGGCTTACCCAGGAAGCACGGTAACGTGGGTTACCTGCGCTTACGTACTAATCTGTCATGAACAGTTTCACATCTTAGGTAAGACCCGTGTGAGATTGTTCAGTGCAGATTAGTTAGTAAGCACAAGTAGCCTGTGCTTACCTTTCCTACTTGGTACTCTGTCCCTGTCAGAGATTATAAATTTGGGAAGAGGCTTTGATTCTGTAGGAAGATACTGTGGGCTCAGAGAGAGACAGATGCCAGCCAGACCTAGAAGCAGAATCTTCTAGGTTCTGTGGTGAAAAAAAAAGTATAATTGTTTGCCACGAACTAGTTGTTGTTGTTGTTAAGTGTTGATGAGTCTATTCTGACCCATAGCAACACTGTATAGCGTTTCCAGGGAGCAGCTGATGAGTTTGAACTGCCGACCTTGCAGTTCAAACAGCTAGCAGTCTGGCACATTAAGCCACAGCATAAGGAAGCACAAATAAGCCTGTGCTTACCTTGCCTATCAGTTAATCCAACTCTGGTTTGAGATGCAGTATATGGCACTTTTGAGAAATTCATCTTCGGTGTTTTATTGAATTTAAGCCTCCACCAACTTTCCCAGCTGAAGTTTGTGAATCTCTCCAATCCAAAACTAACCATTCCCCAGCCCCCAAAATAGCAAAGAGCTTTCATAAGTGCTATCCTATCCTCAGACGTACCTGTGAGGTTGTGCCCCAGGTTGGTACCAGGTGTTTTACAAGAGGGCGACCAAGAGGCAAGGTAATTGGTTCAGCAGCTTAAGTTCTAAACCCTGGACCCGAATTTTCACCATTACATTTCATAGTTGGAGCCTTTCTTAGCTGCAAATAAGTTTTAAAACAAACGTCAAGTTTGAATAGATGAGTCACAGCACACATATCACAGTGAAGAACGTGACCAAGAATTCTCTAACTCGATGGTCTTTCTCTTTCAAAGAGGCTTCTGAGATCTCTTGCAATTCCAACCTAATTAGGTTACATCAGACAGGTAAACTATGACCCACATCAGACTCAATGTGGAAAACAAGTCTAAAACTGCTTCCTTAGTTCATATTTAGTTTCTCTTGTCCTGATAGTATGTCAGACTAGGGGGATAAATGTGTGGGGTTTCAGACGTGGTCCCCAGGGATCCGGTTCTGTTACGTATTTTAGCCTCTTGTTCATGGGCAGAGCAAACTGCCAAGTGCTCAGCTACTAATGAAAAAGATTGTCAGTTCAAAATCACTCAAGAGGCACCTCGGAAGAAAAGCCTGCCATATGTTTCTGAAAGATCACAACCATAAAGACTCTCTGGAGCACAGTTGTACTCTGCACACGTGGTGACTCCAGGACTTAGAATCACCTCAAGGGCAGCTGGTTTTGTTGGTTTTCTAGGGCCTTGGGTGAGCGGCTTGACCTCACTGAGCCTGGTGCCCATCTGTAAATATGGGCAGGTGATGATGACTACTGCCTTCCTAGAACCAGCACAGGGCTGTGAGGTACCCTGGCTTCTAGGCTCAGTGTGAGTGGGTTGCAGAGATCCCAGCTCCGCCCCTTCCCTGCCGTGTATCTGTGGGCACATGGTTTATCTCCCAGAATCTTGTTCTTCAGGTATAAAGTATCAGTAGCTGAAGCTCCCAGTCCAACTTATGATGTATGACCGCATTGTGTCTAGGGCCCAGCTTCTCACAGGTATCCCATGAGTAGCCCTGTCCTCACTGCTCCTTCCGAGCTATCTCATTGGAAACTAAGTCAGAGAAGGCGTGTGTGTGTGTGTGTGTGTGTGTGTGTGTTGTGTGTGTGAGAGAGAGAGAGAGAGAGAGAGAGAGAGTCCGCATTAAGCTGTGGAGCCCCGACAGGCATTAGCTACTATTTCTACGTTGTATTCACCCATAGTTGAGCCCTCGAATGTGTTTCAGTTGATGCAGGCAGCCCTGCGCCCACCCTGCCACCGATCCTTCACTTGAACACAAACATTGACTTTGGCCCTGAATCTTCTACCCACAGGTACCTGGCGCTTTACGCCTACAAACCCCAGAAGAATGATGAGCTGGAGCTACGCAAAGGCGAGATGTACCGAGTCATTGAGAAGTGCCAAGACGGCTGGTTCAAGGGGACATCCCTGAGGACTGGAGTCTCAGGAGTGTTCCCCGGAAACTACGTGACTCCTGTCTCCAGGTGAGGGCCAAGCAGGTAGACCTGGAAGGTAGCAGCTTCCTCCTCAGCTCCCTTAACATGAGTGTTATTGCCTAATGTGCTGTGGGCTGGGCATTCCAAAACACGGACAATTCAGAAGACAGCAAAGCACATCACTGCCAGTGGGGCTCAGCACATATGAACTCTGAGGTCTCCTTGCAGCCATGACGCTGTAGTCCTGAGCAAGGTTAGAAAGCAAAGGGTAATCTTGATGCTCGTTTTAACTTTTTAGTTGGGTTTTCTTGGTTTTACCTTATCAGACCCTGGCTACTACCTTGTTGCTACGTGCTATAGAATCAGTTCCAACTCATAGTGACCCTTTATAAGTCTTCTGAGGAGCGAGTGGTGGATTTGAACTGCTGACCTTTTGGTTCAAACTTACCTCAGGGTCTAATGCCTATCCTCCAGCACCACATCAGGACTCCAAGCAAGTAGTGTACCACCTCGAGTAGAATGGGAACAGAATGAATTGGAGATTGAGAAACAGCATTAACTAATGAAGTGAGAAAGTCCCCAAAGATAATATGATCTCAAGTGTGTCTGTGTGAGAGAGAGGAGAGTGTGTGTGTTGTTGCATCCTGTTACACATAAAGCACAAGGATGAAGGATAACAAGTGTTAATGATTTCAGTGTTGAGTCAGTTTTGACTCGTATCACCCTCTGTTGCATTCCCAAGGAGTTGCTGGTGGGTTTGACTTTCTGACTTTACAGTTAGCAGTCCAGTGCTTAACCTATATTAGTAGTAATTTAAAAAAAAGAAAAAGAAGTCTTCTTTATTCTTTCCTGTGCCTTACAAATTTTCTATTACAAGGGTGAGTCAAAAATGATCTACATGCTGGTTGTAAAATTTATTTTAATCAATTTTTAGAAAAGACACATCATTTTTTGACATAGCCTCCTCGCTTTTCAGGATACTTTGTCTCTCTGTCAACAGACTTTCATCTGCCCTTATTAAAAACTGTTTTAGGCTGAGCTGTGAGCCACAAATACACCACTGCCTTCACTTCTTCATCAGAGGGGAGTCTTCATCCTCGAAGGACTGCTTTCAGAGACCAAACAGGTGAACATCTGATGGAGCAAGATCAGGACTATAGGGTGGATGCTTTAACATCTCAAAAGAAAGTTTTTGCAAAATGTCCACAGTGTGGGCAGAGGTGTGTGGACGTGCACTGTCTTGCAAGATCACAACACCCTTGGAGAGCAGTCCTCTGTGTTTAATCCGAAGTTTAGGCTTCAGCTCTTCAGCAAGCCCCTTCACGTAAGAAGCACTGTTGATCACTGAACCTTTTTCCTGACAGTGTTCCAATCCTGGACCTTGAGAACCCCAGAAAACTGTAAGCATCAATTCCAGCTGATAGTTGACTGAAACTTTTTCTCGGTCGGCGATTGAGGACGCTTCCATTCCATACTCTGCCATTTACTCTCAGGCTCCTAGTGATGAATCCATGTCTCATCACCAGTTTCATTTTCTCAAAGACATTTTTATCTTCCTTGGAGTGTTGGTCCAAATTGTGTTTGCAGATATCCAAACGCTTGTTTATGCTCTTTCGTGAGTTGTTTCAGAAATCCAAGTTTGCCGTGGATGGTTTCAGAGGCAGAGCCACGGCTGATTTGCCACTTAATCCACTGTCATTCGTCTGTTCCACAGAATTATGTCACGCGCACGCTCAGTGTTGCCATCAGACATGAACGCGCATTTTAATATAACTGGAGTGCAGATAATTTGTGACTCACCCTCGTGTATCAATTTTAAAAAAGAATTTTTTTTTTAAGTTATTTTCTAAAAATTCACCAAAGAGATAACCCAGAGGTGTCTGAGAATTTCCTGCTGAGGTGACAGGAACCATTGCTTGGCTTCATGTCAGGTGTGCCATGCTCATCCAAGCCCTTGTGAGCGGTCTCTGTGGTAACACCCGAGGACGTACAGAAATTAAAGCCGTGGCCTTGGGGAGTCTGCTGTCTTTGAAATAAGATTTTCATGAAGGAAAGTGATGCATGGAACCTTCCATTGTTTGTTAGACTCATTTAAACTGTTCAAAGTTGTGTAAGGGGAGTACACCTAGTTCTTGATTCAAATCGTTTTATTTACTAAACCAGTGTTTCCCAAATGGTCCTCACTCAGGGCCTGGAGGGGAGAAGGAAGTCTGATCAGAGTCCAGAACGCAGAGAAGGACAAGATTTAAGAGGTGGTTGAACATACTACATTCAGTGGGTGAAGCTTAAGAGCTCACAGAAGGACTTTGAGATGCGTCCCGTACCTCAAACTTAAGCTAACAGACGTCTACTTTGGGAGTGGCCTCCACACTGGTTTCCTGGTGCTTATCCGCAGGTGTACATGACTCCCCAGCTGTGTACTGTCCCGTACCAGATTTTACAGAGGGAAATCTGTAGTCTTGATCTCCTGTGTTGGTGTTTACAGGCCACATCTTTAAGCCTACAACTTTGTTTACTTTTAAAGCCTCTCCACAAATCATCTCATGCTTGAGGAAACTACTCAGGTAGTTCAACACACCTGAATGACAATGAACCAGGGGTGGACTGTCATATGTTATGTGCCATTGAGTTGGTTCCGACCCATAGCGACCCTGTATAGGGTTTCCAAGGAGCAACTGGTGAGCTTCAACCACCAACTTTGTGCTTCAAACCCCTCTGCATTCTGATGTATTAACCCACAGTGCCACACCAGGACTCCAGACAGCCACTGGAGCCAGTGAAAATCACCCCAGCCAAGGTCAGGGTTGGGTTTCTGTCATACAGGTTAGCTCCAGAGTCTCCTCATGCTTAAACAGTTCATTAACCAGTGACGCTTCATCCAACGAAGAAGCCACCTAGCTGTGCTCCCCAGCTTTAGAGGGGGCACGCATCTGTACACCAAGCAGGCCTGGAAACAAGCTTGCTCAGGCTGCCCTGGATAATGTGTATCATTCCCCAGCACCATGGGGTCTGCCCTGCAGAACTCACACCCTCAAGGAAACCCAGTCATTGATGGTGGGGTGCCCAGCAGCCTTACCCAGTGCTGCCAGGGGCCATTTCAACCAGCTTCTTATGCATCTTTTTATAGGAGAGGCTGAGTCTTCACCACCCTCAGAAGTCCTGTCAGCATCCTCAGCCTTTGGAGGGAGTTAATCATCGTTTTGATTACCGGTTCTCCAAATTCCCAGTTTTTCTAGTTTTACTACTGCAGTTCTCTCTACCTTGCTCCTTGTTGTTGTTGTTGTGAGATGCCATCGAATCGGAACCGACTCATAGAGACCCCATGCACAGCAGAACGAAACAATGTCCGATCCTGGGCCAACCTCACTACAGCCACCACACTTGACGCCTTGCTCCTAGAATTCCTTAAATCTTTCAGAGACATGACAGTTGTACTTTAAATAAGGCTTCCTTATGTGGTATTCAGGATCCTCTGTCATCTGTCACCAGGCCATCATTCCAACCCCTGGGCCACCGCACTGCTCTCCTTGTTAATCCAGCCACATTGAATTACTTGCCATTCCCTACTCATACCATCCAGCTTCAGCAGAGCCCTCTTCCTCTCCCCAAATCTGAGCTAATTTCCCACTTCAAAATGAAATCCCACGTATCCTTCAGAGCGCTCTTCTCTATAAAACCTTCTCTGATCACCCGCCTCCTTACAGCAGATTGTGTACACTTCGTCTTGTATTGTCGTGAGTGTCATCTTGGCAAGTACTGCTTGTGAGCAGGGTGTTGGTGTGTGGTGGCCCCACTAGCCTGTCAGCTCTGTGTATGACTGCAGTAGTCTCCTACCACTCTGCGTCTCCCTCACAGCTCTTTGTGTCCCATTTACATGTACTAGGTGTTCATTAAATGCAAGTTGAGTAAAGAAATGAAATCTGGTTATTGTGATACAAATTTAGCTTCAAGAGTATCTTTCCATACCACCTACAACTTTTCTTTTGTTAATAAGAAAATTCGCCAGCTAATGAAATGTGAAATTTGAATGGCCCCTGTCAGCTCTGCCCATCATTGTTTGTGAGCCCCATCATCTGTTAACTTCTCTCAAGCCCTCTCAGTCTTCAACCTCGGAAGGCATTCAGAACGAGAGAACCAGGTAGCTCATATCACTTCAGAAGAGTTCGTCCATCCTGGCAAATAAAGTATTGTGAAGGTCACTGGTGGTCATCTCAGGTCCCTAGGAGAAGTCAGGCACCCTCTCCGTCGATATCTCAGAAGCTCAGACAGCCTTACCCCGCTCCGTAGCTCACCATGGAATGAAATGTTTCCTGGTCTTTTGTCACAGACATGCAGGAGAGCTCTCCCTGTCCCTGTGACTCTGCACATTTCTGTTCCAAGCTCCTCGCTGTTCTTAATGAAAGTTGGCAAAGCTACCAAGCCACAGAGTGATGCCTCTCCAGTCCCGTGGTCAAATGGATGGATGGAAGGCCCGGTCCTTTAGTCACACACAGACCTGTGTTCATACAACTGTATTCACTGCCCATTATTGTGAAGTACTCAGCAGTATTGGCAGACTTTTAGTGGGCTTGGAGCTTACTGTTTGGAGTTGATTTGGCAGTTGTACAACTTTGAGGCCATGTAGAGTTCATTTTAAACTATGGTGGGTAAACTCACGGTGCCTGGCTGCTCCAAGTGCATGCTGGAAATGAAAGCCCTGCAGACTCCTTTGTCAAACAGCTCCTGAGACGATGTGAAGCGACTGAACACTGCCAAACAGAAGCCGATGAGAGTATCTGTGCCTGTTATGTTCCGGCTTGTCCAGATAGCCTTGCAACTAAGTGACCCATGCTTGTAAGGCCACTTTATTTCGTTAAATACAGAGAGATTTCCTAGGAGAAATGGAAAATCAACAGGTGACAAATGTGATTTTTCTTTTTTTAAAGTAACAAAATCTTGTTTGGGGCTATTCTGTCGATAGACTTACTAGCTCGAGTTCATGTCAAGACTGCTGTAAGCACTAATGGAAGGAAACTCGTATTCCCAAAGTCTCTTGACTGTTGGCATTTGGGGCCTAGTCTTGGAGATGCTCTTTTGGGGAGCCACTGCTTACAAGCACAGACTTGCAATGCAGGGGCTCTTCCTTCCTGATTGAAAGTCATTGCACAGTGGTACCAAACCATGCCTGGAGATGGTGTCCTGGGGTCAGACCTTGGACAGGCAAGAGCCCTGAAGAGCCTGACTCCCCCAACACCATTCCATCATGATTGAAGTCCTGAAAGGGCATGAAGAAGAGTCTTCCTCGGAGATTGACCTCCGGCACCTCTTGGACAAATGCCAAACACTCTGATTCCCCTGAATCCTTGAGATTGGCGTCACCAAAAGCTGTAAACTCCCAGCCTGTGCAATATTGTATACCTCCCCAGGCAGTGTGTGGCTTTACTATAAGTACCTAGAGGGGAATGGGGCTTAAAGCTTGTTTCCCAAAACTTCTGTGTTCCTGGCTTCATCTGGAAACTTCAGGGTGAAAGGCCATCTATTTCGGGTATGAAACTACAAGTTCTTTGAAATCCCTGAGAAGGATATCATGTTTGCTGTGCCCTTTCCCAGAAGGTTGGGTCAGAGGCCAGAAGAAACAATATGGCGGCCATGTCCAGAGGGAGTCAGCTGTTCTTTCCATTGGGTTTGCCGGCCATGCTGTCAGAGGTTTTAAAGTCTGGTGGGACATGACTCGGTCATCCCTTTTTGTTCTGGAGGCGTTTGGGGACACACAGCTGCTTGTTAGAATGAATTAAGGCAGAAGCGCTGGTACAACATACTGGACTGATTTGGGACCATTCTTCTGTTTCATAGGGTTCTTTTGCTATTTCTTGAGTATTCAAAATGAAAGTTGCCCCCATGAGGGTTTCTTCAAAAGTGCCCTTCTCAGATTTAGCTCTGGATATGGTTCAACTAGAATGATTTTGGCGTTTTTCTTAAGATTGTGTCCCATCAACTCTTTTGTTCTCGTCTCCCAAAGCCAGTATTCTGCCTATGCCAGTAGCCTGTGTCGTGTGATTCCATCTGAGCTCTCTTGCCTGACTAGAGTTTCCTTTATTTCCTTAGGGTCCCTGTAGGAGGAGCTGCAGCACCCCGGAATAATGTAATTGGAGGGTCTCCACTGGCCAAAGGCATGACTACAACCATCCACCCAGGTGGTGGAAGTCTGAGTAGCCCAGTCACTACCACCAGACCTGCCCTTCCAGTCACCACACCTCAGGCCTCAGCGTCTCCCCCAACGGGCAGTTGTCTGCGACACTCAACCCAGCCAGTGACCAGCCAAGGCCGGAGTACTGTCCCAACAGGTATGTAACCTGGCTCTCAGGGGCGTCTCCCCTGCCAGGGAATTTGACAAAGAGGTTTGCGGGAGGTCTTCAAGACACAAGTTATGAGAAACATTTTTGGTCCCAGTCTCAGGCAATCCACGGTGGGGCAAGTTGTATTTGCTTATCATAATCATAAACTTCTGGTGATCTCCGGGAAGTTCGCTTGACTTTTCATATTACTCTATCCTGGCAGCTGAGATGGATTAGGGATTTTACAAATATTTACATATTTCACTGTAGTAAGAAGACTGCATGGACTAATAAGATTAACATTGGCGCTTTGGATGACTCCCCCAGCGAGGCAATTGTTAGTCAGCCACATAGACCCCTTCCATTTGCCAGACCCTTAAGTTTCCCAATGAGGCGGCATTTCATGGGACAGAGAGCTGGAAATGAGCCACAAATAGAGAGTACTCCCTTTCTAATGTGCTCTGCAATTAGAAGGAGCTAATTATCATTGATCCTCCATCTTCATGCCCATCACGATCAATAGGCAGGCTGACACATTTGAAAGAAGGACCAGTTTGCCCCAGGATACGTACTATGAGATGAAAAGAAATGGGGCAAATCTTCAGGACGTAAAGAATGTGAACACATCTGGTGTGAAAGCTTAGCATTGAGCCCAGAAGGCCTGATGAAGTGTGACTCGCACGATGCTCCTAGGTGTCTATACACCAAGTGACCTTCAGAAACCAAAAAGCTGACCAACCCAAGACTGAAGGATGCCACGCTATTCTAGTAAATGATGCTGAACTTCCCTTTCCATGCCAACCCTATCCTCTCAAAAATCCTCTCTTCGAAAAATAGCACTTAAAAGGAGAAATGAATGTAAATTCTTTGCAGCCATAAAGCATTATTTTTTACCATTAGCCAACCAGAAGAGAACCCATTATTTAGAAGTGCTTCAGAAAGTAGCGTCTGAAGTGTAAAAAGTCAAGACAAAACTTCGCAGAGACTGTGTTTTCTCCAGAGTCATAGCTGATAGAACAAGAGACGAGGCTGAATGTCCAGCTATCGAAGCTAATCATTCTACTCGCCCATCGCTGACTCTTCCGGGAAGCTGACTGGCACATACCCACACTGATGGTCAATTCAGGCTTACCTGGGATGGGAAGAACTGCTTTTCTCCTGCAGGGAAACCTAAATGTAGTATAAATTATTGTTATCGATTCAATTGTTTTTCCCAAAAGACATGTCAAAGTCTTAACCCTGTACCTGTGACTATCAGCTTGTGGGGAAATAGGGGCTGTCTCTGAAGATAAGGAGGTCATAGAGGAGTCGGGTGGATCGTAATATTATATGACTGGTACTGTCTCAAAGAAGACAGACACAGAGACACAGCCACACACAGAAAAGGTGCCATGTGACAATAGAGCTGGGAGTAGCCGAGGATTGCCAACAGCCACTAGAAGCTATGAGAAAGGCATGAAATCGTTCCTCCTCCAGAACCCTCAGAAGGAATCAACACAGCTGATACCCTGATTTGAGCTTTGAACATGTAGTTCAAATAACCCACAGTGAGACAATAAAGTTGTGTTCTTCATAGCCACCCACTGGGTGGGATTTTGTTACTGCAGTCCTAAGAAGCGAAGATATCATTTCAAGAGAGTTTTGTAGCAGGGCCCAGTTCAGTCCATGAGCCCACTTTACTACTGCTGGCTCTGCTTGGTCCTCAGAGAACAACAAAACCAGACAGCATCCCTCTCTCACGTTACTGGTTGATCATCAGGCAAACAGTGTTAATCCAGCTGTGAGGGCAGGTCTAAATCTAAGGCAGGTCAGGATGGCGGGTGGAAGGATGTGTAGAGGCCCCACAGAAGAATTCATTACCCGGAGAAGTAGCAAAAGATGATTAATACTCATGCAAGTGAATAAAGGTCACACAGAGAAGAAGGTGTCATTGGAAGCAGAAAGAAATATTCAAAGTAACAGAAGCGTGACAAAGCATGTTTTCATTCACGTGGCTCAAGTAATTCAGTAAAGACAGAGCCAGCAGAGACCTGGCTGAAGGCAGGGACTTGGAAGACAGACAGACTTGGGTTCAAATGCTGGAGCTGCCACGATTGCTGTGGCCTCAGTCTCCCCCTCTGTAAAATAGGAATATAAATAACACTTACCTTCTGGTAGGAGTCCTGGTGTGGCTCTGCAGGAGAATGCACTGGACTGCAAAGTCGGTTTGAACCACAGGGTAGGCTGTTCAAGCTCACCAGCTGCTCCTTGGAAACCCTATACAGGGTCACTATGGGTGGGAACCAGCTGAACAACACTTAACAACAACAACAGAACCTTCTAGTGTTGGCATAAGGATTATCTAATGTGCCTAGAATTGAATAGAACATGTACCATGTGTTCAATAGAGTCTTTGTTTGTAATCATGTTCAAATATGAAAACATTATTGAAATACTCAATACGTGAAAAAAAGTTAATCGAATATTTACTAAAGAAGCTGTTTCTTGTCATCTCGTGCCATTGAGTCACAGAGTTAGTGAGTTACAGAGTCGAATTGCTCCTCAGGGTTTTCATCTTCTAGAAGCTGATCGACAGGCCTTGGTTAACAGTCACAAACTCTTCTGAAGGACATGGGGGTTGGACTCTCCTAGGGGCTATAGGAACCCGTCATCTCTTAAAGCAAGGGGATAAGACTTTATAAAATCTCCCCACGATAAAGTATGGAGGCAGAAGTGGTATACAGCAGACGGGGTCAAGGAAGGAAACACGTTAGAACGCTGTGGATTTGCCCAGGTGAGAGGTACTGGTGGATTGTGGGCCAGAGCTAAGTGAGTTGTCTTGCAGAACTGAATGCAGATTAAAGAGCTGTTTAGGAAGCAGAATGATGAAGACTTGAAGATGGACTGATGTACACATCTAGGAAGGACAAGGACTCGGTTGGCAGGGAGAATAGCAATGACAATTCCTGACCTAGAAAATACCAGACAGGAACTTGTTTCTTAGAGTAAGTGATGGCTTAGGTTTAGACACATTGCACTGAGGTGTCATGTGGAAATTTTCAGGTGTGTAGTCGCCTGCTGACTTTGAACAAGTCCATCCCTCCTCCCATGTGCATCCCACTTCCCCAGGGGAGAAGGCAGAGTCTGTTTTTCCAGCTTGCTTTGCAGTTAACATGCAGACACATAACCTAAACTCTAGGAATTGGATTCTCTGGCTCAAGGCTTCCATTCTGAAGACAAACCCTAAAAAACTAAGATATAAAAAACACCGCCACCACATCGGGTCCAACTCATGACAACCCCAGATAGGGTTTCCAAGCCGGCGAATTGTTACTAGAGTAGACAGTTTCGTCTTCCTTCTGAGGGTCAGCTGGTGGGTTTAGACCACCAAACGGTTGGTTAGCAGCCCAGTGCCAACCCCACAAACATATGGACTATGCCTTGTAGATTCCTCTTGGTGTTAAGTTGTTGTGCCATCGAATCAGTTCCCACTCATCGCAACCCCATGTGGGGTTTCTAAGGAGTGGTTGGTGGGTTTGAACCTTGGAACTTGTGGTGAGCAGCCCTGTGCTTATTCTACAGCACCACACCAGCAAGCAATCAAACAAAACTCTTTACAGAAGCTGATCAGCACCCTTGGTTCAAACTGCCAAGCCCTTGGTTAGGAGTCAACCATTGAACTGTTTTCACCATTATGGACCTTCCAGAATGGGGAGAGTGGTAGAGAAGGCCTGAGACTTTCAGGGACAGTAGTGTGGCACTTCTGATGCCTGGTCCCCAACCCGGTGGTTAGGTGCAGTGTGTGTGTCCAGTACCAATGACGGTATCTCCGGTGACGAGACTACTGAGCATTGTTCTTGGTGGCAGAACCTTCAAGGCTGGCTCCCAGAGCTTGCAGAAAGTGGCTAATAGTCTTTAATATATTGACTTGTGTGAATTAGCCAAGAGTAGGGTATGGTTTTTGTGTGGGTTTGTTTTTTTTGTTGTTTTTTTGTTTTTAGTGTGTGTGTGTGTGTGTTGTTTTGTTCTGTTTAGTTTTTTAGGGCCTGGAATGCCATAACCTTTTTTTTTTAATGTTTTACTGTGAATTGAGTGGTAGTTTACATGGGAAAACATTAGTTTTACGTTCATACTATCGTATATCGTTTCATTGCTATGGTTACAATCCCCTCCATGCATCATCAACCAACCAAAGGGTATACACTACTAGTCTGCCCCCTGGTCATCAGCACACAGCCCCTTTCCCTCTCTGTGTCTAAAGCCTCCAGCTGCTCCATCTCTCCACGTCATCGTCTTTGCCTCCATCTCAGGCATCACTGCTTCTCTGGGTAGGGGCCCACTCTCTGCTCTTCTCTCTTGATGGTCCCAGGGACCTCCGCCCCTAGGCTGAAAAGTTAATCATTCCCCTACTTGCTACCAAACATCTACCGTTACATTTCCAACCCTCACAATCAGCCCTGATAACAGTTATTCACTGTTGTATCACCAGAGACCTGCATGTGTGTTTTTGTCAATAGTTCTGTTTTGTTAGGTTTGTTTCGTTGCAACCCTAGCCTGTGGGGCTTTGAAGAAGAGCTGGTTGTTTCTATAAGAGACTTCTCCAGCAGTCGTCCCTCACATTCAGCCCTTCCTTCCAGCCAGCCACGCTGATAGCAGTGTTCATCTGGTGGTATGCTCCGTCCCTTCTATGAGGGAGAAGGTCCCTAGGGGGCACAAATGCTTTGCACTGAGCTGGTAATTGAAAGGTTGGAGCTTGAACCCACCCATAAAGATGATAGCCAAGAAAGCCCTATGGGGTCCAGTTCTACTCTGACGCTTATGGGTCCCCTTGAGTTAGAATCCACTTGATGGTAGCAGGAAAGAAGGGAAAGCTAGGGATCCAGCCATTGTCGTAGGTGGTCAGGTGATCGTACAGCAGGGCATCCGTACTGATACACCGCCATGGTTGCATGCCAAGTTTGTCAAGATACTGGTCTCCTTAATCCCTGGAATAGCTGGAAAGGAGCTAGACAGTGAAAGTCCCAAGTCAA